TGACCCAGGAATCTTGCTCCTGGGCTTATATCCAGAAGGAACCCTACTTCAGGATGACACCTGCACCCTAATGTTCATAGCAGCATTATTTACAATAGCCAAGACATGGAAATAGCCTAAATGTCCATCAACAGGTGACTGGATAAAGAAGATGTGGTATATTTATACAATGGAATACTACTCAGCCATAAAAACAGACAACATAATGCCATTTGCAGCAACATGGATGCTCCTGGAGAATGTCATTCTAAGTGAAGTAAGCCAAAAAGAGAAAGAAAAATACCATATGAGATCGCTCATATGTGGAATCTAAAAAACAAAAACAAAAAACAAAGCATAAATACAAAACAGAAATAGACTCATAGACATAGAATACAAACTTGTGGTTGCCAAAGGGGTAGAGAGTGGGAAGGGATAGATGGGGTTTTAAAATTGTAGAATAGATAAACAAGATTATACTGTAAAGCACAGGGAAATATACACAAGATCTTATGGTAGCTCACAGAGAAAAAAACATGACAATGAATATATATATGTTCATGTATAACTGAAAAATTGTGCTCTACACTGGAATTTGACACAACATTGTAAAATGATTATAAATCAACAAAAAACGTTAAATAAATAAATAAATAAATAAATAAACAAAAAAGAGTAACCAAAAATTAAGTAAAATTAAAAGTTAAATAAGATCATGTTATCTCTTATAAAATATGTCAGAAAGAAAAGTAACTTGGGATGAGAGTTGACTTTGTCTAATGTCTCATGAAGTTTTTATAGGTAATCTAAATATAATCTTGGGAATAAGTGATTTCAATAGATATAAATGGGGTAAGAGTTTTTCAGGTGAACTAGTAAGAATAATTATGTTTTACAGTATGTCTACTTAAAAGTAATTTCTCCAGATTTTTGGTGACCTGAAAATTTAGAATTTTACTAAATTAAGTTAAATGATGAAAGTCTATTGAATATCTAGATCATTCCCAAATAAAGTAAGATACTGAAGTATTACTGAACACAGACTTCCTCTCATAGAGAAACTAAAGATATTTAGGACTATTAATAAAAATGTTTTGTACCACACAGACATTTTCTGTAAGAAAGAACATGTTTTTAGAAATTATAAACAGCATTTTTAAGTTTGTCATTCTACAGAATGCTAATGTAGAAGACAGTTCATAATTGCTTACTTCTTAGTTTATATTAGAAATTAAGGTTTTTAAAGGTTAAGGATTCTAAATAAACATGAAATAGGAAATAATACGGAAAACACTATGCAAACAAAAGGAGGAGTAAGGAATGGAGATGCATTTTGTTAAGGGAAAATAAGGTGATTTTGTTCTAAAAAGAGGTTAAAAAGAGAAAAAAAGAGAAAAGGATGGAATCTGAAGGTGAAGAGGGAAGTTATGGAAGTTTTGGGGAAAAGAAATCCTGTGAAAGGAATTTTATTTGTGATCAGAACTGGCTAGGACTGGAATAAATTTTAATATTAAAAGTAGAGTGGTATAAAATTAGAATTAGGTTTTCTCTCTGTTAAGAGAACGAAGTTTTCTTGGACTACTGATCTGCTTTTGATAACAGAATGTAAGGTTTCTTTATCGTTTAAGTAATCTTTTATAATTTTCTGTCTTTGCCTTTGAAATCTTTTATTGTCACTAGGCTAAATGAATAAATATTATTTCACAGTGACATATGATCCTATTTGACCAAGTGTTTTAAAACCTTTTGATATTTTTGATAAACTTCTTCAAATCAAATTCTAAATGAAGATCTTTTGACCACCAGCTAACTTTGAGATGCTTCAGAAGCCACTGAAGCATCCCAGAGATGTTAAACTAATTAGTCTTCTTTAGTATATTAAATTACATGGGACACATTGTCAAATGCACGGTAATAAACCTTCTTAGGTTTTATTTTATGAGGAAATATCATTAATATAAAGGTTCTAGAAGTTATACGGAATTTCTAATAATTGAATGTGTCCTGGTATAATGTTATCAGTCATAATTCTACCTAATATTTTAATATTGTATGTCATAACCAAATTCCTTTGACAAATGCATAGTAATCAGCTCTTTAACCATGACTTTTTAAGTCTTTCGTCATTTATAGACAGTTACTATTTTACTCTGATGATTCTGCAAAAATGCTTCATCTTGAAGAACCATAGAAAGGACTTTCTGATAAATACTGGTTTCTGATAACTTTCAGATCATACTGCTGAACTTGGTGATAAATTAAAGAATTCTAATGGAAAACCTGGTGGCTTCATAAAACTGTTAATAGAAGATCAAGATCAACAAGAATTAGTTACATAGGGCTGAATGATAATTTTTATGACTTTTTTTTCTGAAATATTACTGGCTTTAATCTTTGTTCCAGATACAAGGAAACCTTTCCCCTCAAGCTAATTATGGCTTAAAGCAATTTGGTAAATTACAACTCTGTAAGCAGAATTGAAACTATCTTTTCTCTCTACCTGATACCTCAACAATTTAGAAACTGTTAATTATTTTCATGGCAATACAGTTATTTGCATAAGTTTAACAAGAATCTGTTTTCCTTATAACAGGACATAACTGGAAATATTGGTCATATTACCATGGCTTTGACTGTAATGTCATATTTGAGAATGTGCATAGAATCAGGTAAGACCAGACAGCTTTAAATAACTAAGGTGGATTTTATGGAGCCATAAAGCCTGTTGGAAAAACAGCCTGGCACATTACTTACTGGGTTCCCAGAAACCTTACTAGGTAAATAAGAAAGGTTACTTTCCGGCAGGTGCAGGAACCTCAAAAGATTTTGAGAACCTTGAGAAGAGAGGAACTCACCCAAATCTGTAGAAGTTGCAGGTGAAATCTGATAAGTCCTTGGCATGGCTCTTCAGGACTTGAGAGATCTTTTACAAGTTCAATCTGAGATTCCTTATGAAAAGTTCTAGCAATTAAAAAGAGCCTATAAGATCAATTACACTTATGTAAATAATCAGACCAAGTTTATTAAAAGCCAGAATTATTTTGCAAACAAATTAGTCTTATATATAATCCTTTAATTTTCTTGTAAGGTTAGTGATTATGTCCCATCTTTCTTTTTGGGGGGGTGGGATTAGGTTTGTTTGTTTGTTTGTTTATTTGTTTGTTTTAATGGAGGTACTGGGGATTGAACCCAGGACCTCGCACATACTAGGCAGGCACTCTACCACTAAGCTATACCCTCCCCCACCAAACAAATCAGTCTTAATTTGGCTATATTTGGTAGAAATGAGGGTAATTTTAAAGAGAAAAAAATTATGTTTCAGTGGATATTAAATTCTAGTTTTAATTGTCTTTGAGAGTTTATCTGCCTATGGCTTACTTCCTAGGTAGTTTCTTATTCCTATGTTGTATTATTGTAAAGTTTAACTGAATTATTGAAAGGACATTCTGAGCTTATTTCTGAAGATTATCACATTAATCATTCTTTGGATGAAGACCAGATGACCCACAACCTGCAACCAGGAGATTATGTACACTGGAAGAGGCATCATTTAAAGGAATGTCTTCCACCCAGATAAAAGGACCCCTTATCAGGTACTCTTAGCTAGCTCACGAACAGCAAAACTGAAGGGAATTGACTCATGGATTCAAATTTTTCACTTAAAAAGGCCCCTGCACTGGACTGGTTTATAGAGAGGACTGATGACCTCAAACTCACGTTGAAGCAACATCCATACCAGGATGAGAAGATAACATCAAAAGTAGACAGCTATCCCAAGGTGTTGGACCTGAACTGTACGACCATTTAGACTGCTTTCTTGACTTTTTGGAGAAAGAAAGAGAGAAAGAGAGAGAGAAAGGAGACAGCATACCGTAGAGCTGTCGGAGCCAAACTGAAATTACCCCCAATGGCAAAACCTAGAACGATTTGATGAACAAAATCAATAGCATATAATATTGGATTATAACCAAAATATAACATAAATATCCTTGAGACTTTGTACTTATTTATATCAGTATTTAGACTGTTGGGGCTCAGGGCAGGTCATCCCAAAATACACCATAATGGCAAATTGATTGTTTTGAATTACAGTTACTTAAGAAATGGCCATTCAAGAAGAACACTTTGACCTTCCTCTGTCTCCCTGAAAGCAGGAAATAATCTCCCATGTGAAAGGTGCACTTCCAGCATCTGGAAGTAGAAGGACACCCTTATCACCAGAGATAGGGAATTTGGGCCAAGAAGCCTATGTAAATAAACCTCGTTACTTATTTACCACCCCAAGCCCAAGCTCTGTTTAGATTCTTCACTAATTGGGTACCCAAGACCTAAGTTTCTTTGTCCTGTCAATTCTTCACAAATTTATTGTTTCTTTGTCTAAAAAGTATAAAAGCTGCCTACTAAGGCCATGTCTTAGGTTCCATTTCTATGAGACCTCCATGTACATAAATTTTGTTTCTTTTTCTCTTGTGTCAATTTTATTATTGGTCCAGGCATAAGAACTCAAAAGGGACAGAGGGGGAGATTTCTCCCTCCCTGACAGTACTGATATAAACTAATTATTGGATACACGAATGAAAAAATATGAGAGAAGAAACAAATATTCCTTATAGAGGAATTCAATATAATTTATATAGATTATTCCCCTTCAAAAAAGATCAAACTTCTCTTCTCCCTGTTGTGGGTTGCACTTAATGACTTTGTTCCAAATAATAGACTATGAAAAGGGGGTAAAAGATCACTTTGTAGTTGAGGAAATTGGCAGGCACTGCCTGAACCAGGTGACCATGTTCAACATCATGAGCAGTAAGTCATGTTAATAGCATGTACCCACAATATGCAGTATGTGGTGAGAAGGGTATCTCTGTGATGCTTTCCCTAAAATCCACAGCTCCAGTCTGACCATGAGAAACATACAAACGAACCCAAACCGAGGGACATTCTAAAAAATACCTGGCTAGTCCTCCACAAAGCATGGGCAGGAATAAACCAGGTATACTTACAAGGAATAACTGAGGAACTGTCTCAGACCACAGGAGATCAAGGAAGCATGAGTAGCAAATGTAATGGAGTATCCTGGACAAGACCTGGGACAGGAAAAGGACATCAGCAGAAGAAAGTCGTGAAATCTGAATAAAGTCTATAAAGTTCAGTTAATAGAAACACTCCAGTGCTGTTTCTTAGTTTTGACAAATGTATCAAGATAATGTAACAACTGGGAAAGCCAGATGAGGGGTACACACGGACTTTGTACTGTCGTTTCAACATTTCCTTATGTCTACAACTATCCTAAAATAAAAAGTTTGCTTAAAGAAATAGCAGGATGTATTGGGAACAGTGAGGAGACTCTCAGTGAGTTGATCATGGTCTGAATTAGGGAGGTCTCCACAGAGAGACACAGGGTCAGAAGAGAACAGAGTCAAGATTTGGAAACTTGGTTCAACATGGCTTGGTAACTGTGTTAGGGGACAAAGGAAACTGGTGGGACAGAGAGGGGAAAGAAATTACATTTTTTTTGTTTATTTTGTTTTTGTTTTTTGTTTGGTTTGGCTTTTTGTTTGTTTTTTGTTTTTAACTGAAGTACAGTCAGTTACAATGTGTCAATTTCTAGTGTACAGCACACAGTCCCAGTCATGCATACACATACATATATTCGTTTTCATATTCTTTTTCAAAAAGGTTACTACAAGATACTGAATATAGTTCCCTGTGCTATACAGAAGAAATTTTTTTTTAAATCTGTTTTTATATATAGTGGCTAAAATTTGCAAATCTCAAACTCCCAAATTAATCCCTTCCTACCCCTTTTCCCCAGAAATTACAGTTGATGAGTGGATGAACCAAGTCATAATCTAGGTCTCATACTTTTTTAGAACTATTAGTTGCACAGCATGCAGCAAACAGGAGAGCCCATATGAAAGGAGACCCAGGAATAACCCAGGCATGAAGCAGAGTGATAGAATAGAAACAAAAAGAAGGATGTGGCTAATCGGTGGTTGATTAGATCAAGGGCCACGGGAGATAGGGATCAAGGGTTTGAAGCCTAGGATTTGAAATAATGATGATGGTGCTCTCAGGAGAACAGAAATAGGGAGAAGGCAGGTTGACAGGAAAGATGATCAGGTGTGTTTGGTAAAGTGTTTGAAATGATGTCAGGGCATCAATGGAAAAGTTCCATGATAGAATGAAGCCAGGTAAAGTCTAGAGACATAAACCATGTATGTAGAGATGTGGAAAAGACTAAGGAAAGGTTATTTGAATTGGCAAGAATGAATTCATTAATAAAATATGAGAGGTTAGTTTGAGAATAGTAGGACCAGAAGCCAGAATCTACTCCAACTGTTTTCATTTCCTTCACATTCTCTCCTTCTTCCTGTGCTTGTTCCATACCTACCCTACGTTTCCTTATTTGAAAAGTGGTTAGTTATGTATTGATCTTGTGTCCCTAGATACATGTCTCTACCATTAGCTACAGCTTTTTTCTTTGGTTTCCATGTATCACAAGAACATTTTCTTCTCTTCGGTAAGCATTTACATTTCTCAACTGGAATGTTTCCTCCTCTCTTACCTGAGCATTTAGTTAATTACTGCTGGAGAGGAATCAATTCCAGGCTGGGAGAAGAGCAATACTGCAGAAAAGTGAGACTCGGGGCTCTATAAATGAGGAAACGTGGATGGGAGGTGGTCACAACCACTCTGGGCCCAACAGAGGCGGTCTCCAACACTGATGGCTTGCCTCTTTTTAAAACAAGTTAGTGCAAGAGCAGTTCAGAAGTTTCCTATAAGTTGGAGATAGATTTTACCAATCAGAGAAAAGAGAAAGGGTGAGAAGTTGACCCCAAGTTTGAGGTGAGCTAGTGTGGCGGCAGCAGTAGTAACAGTAACCATTTACTCAGCCTTTAGCGTCATGATCTGAGCTATGAGCTTCACGTGCGTTAACCTCTTTATTCTTCACAACTCCATGTAGGTATAGGTCCACAGTCCCGAATTCATAATTCCAAACCAAACAGAGTTCTGAAAATCAAAAGTTTTTTTTTTTTTGCTTTACTTTGTAACTTGTGTGACAGTAAAATCTGTCAAGAGATGATTTCAGGCTATTTATTTTCTTTATGTGTTTTGCTACAGGATTACTAGTGGGCTTGACTCGAGGGTGCTGCTCCAGACACCACTGAGCTTTCTGTAATGAACAGTATGTGCATCATAATGACTCTCCTAAAATTAAACAAAAATTCTGAACTCCAAAACTCACCTGGCAGCCAGGGGTTTTGGAGAAAAAATTGTGAAAACTGAGGGTGATAGATGTGAAGTTTAGCTCAAAGTCACACAGGCAGAGATTTGAAATGAGGTCTGTCATTCTCCAAAGACCGGAATCTCAATCATTATGTAACATTCTGGAAATGCGATTATCTTAAGAGCTGGCACCAGAATTTATCTTAGCGGAAAAACTGTCTTCATTGGGAAAAGAATTTGTTGGGTGTGATATCTTAAGGATCTAGGTGTCATTTGGTCCTGTTTTAACCAAGGAAGGAAGTTGGTAGTTTTGTTCTTGAGTAGAGGGGGTAGAAAAGAGAAGGAGCAACCAAACACTTGTGGATTAGGCTTCTGTTTGGGAGAAAATGGACAAGAAAGACTCCCGAGTAAGGCTGGTTCTAAAGGCCTACGTGTTGTTTTGCAGCATTTTGTGGTCTGGTGTGTGATGTGATTCCCTCTACCCTTCCTTTGCAAACTTATGCAAGTTGACTACGCCCACAAGGCTTAGCGTGAATGGATTAGCCCCGTTTTATCAGGTGCTTCTAGATTGAACAGTGTGCTTGTCTCTGGAGACAGGGGGAAAAAAAGAAGTCATGACCTCCAGGAGTTTAGTCTAGCAGAAGTGAGAAGAAAAATGAAAAATTAGAATTTGCAGTGTAATGTTCTATAATAGACGTGTGCATAAGTGCAGGGTTTGCAGAGAAAAGTGAGCAACTCTTTCTGCCTAGCAGAGCACCATTAATCTAGCTATGTATCCACAGTAGCAGCCAAAGCAGGAAGACTATTCACATGACACTGAAAGGTGCTTCTTTAATAACTGTTATTTGGAAATACCCTACTAGGATTTCCAGTGCTGGAAGAAATTTCCTGTTGAGTTCCAGAGGGCCTTTTGATCTCAGAAGTCCTTTAACCAAAAATATGATTGTCTGGAAAGTTGCTAAGAGAGTAAATCTCAAAAGCTCTTACTACAAAGAAAAAAAATGTGCAAATTTATATGGTGACACATGGTAACCAGACTTACTGTGGTGATCATTTTGCAATGTATAAAAATGTGAAATCATTGTGTTGTACACCTGGAACTAATATAATGTTTTATGTCACTTACATTGCAGTAGAAAAAAGATTATGTCAATTGTTACTCTTCTTTTACTACCCAACGCTAAGTACTTATCACTTGCCTTTCATGTGTTGAATACTGGAAGGTTCTATTAGAGGGTTTGTGACATTGTTTTCTTGCTATTCTGGTAAATGATTTAAGGAACTAATCTTTAGAATCTGCAGGAAAGAGTGTTCAGAATGAGCCTGATAGTTGTATTCAGAAATTCATATTTAAGTACATTATTTCCAATCTTAAAACCTTTTTGACCCCGTGTCCACTTTCAGGAACAGCCCTATCTCCTACTCTATTTAATGCAAAACTTCTTGAGATGTCATTCTCTTTGTCTCCATTTTTCTCACATTCTGCTCACTTTTTAACTTACTTTAAATGGAATTTACATATTCCTTCTACCAGCACCTAACACATAATGAATTTACAGAAGTATTTGGTGAATGAAAGATTATACCAGTTATAAAATTTCAATGTGCTAAGGAAGTGGTGAGATTTTCCCCAGATGAATTGTTAGTCTGAGTGTCAGCCAAAGGACAGCCTTTTTTTTTTTTGAAAAAAGAAACTTAGAATCCTATGAGGGGGGAAAAGATTCAGGTAAATTTTGTGTAGTAAAGTAAACAGAAGTATAACTTCGAGTTGGAAGGTAATCAACAAGACTTTAGACATCACTGTGTCTAGCTTAGTGCATAGAGTGAGAAGGAGGTAGCAGTCCCACAGGCCACTGCAGTGGTTAAACCATCCTGGAGTAGCGTTCCTGGTAACCCCCTTTAAAAAGAACAAAGACAAAATGGAACCATCTGGAGGAAGAAAAACGTGAAGCAATACCAAATGAGTAGTTTATGGACTGGGTTATCTCACGGAAGAGAGTATTTAAAGTGGACTATAGTCAGTATTAACAAATATTTGAAGGCGGATTATGGGGATAATAAAGCAGAACTGATCTGAGGTCAAGCAGGAAGATAAGCAGAGGGAAATTCCAGAACAGGTTTCAGCACCACAGAAGAAACTGCCGATCCCTATCTGTCACCTGAAGTGTTTAAGCATTGGCTAGATTCCCATGGGTAGAGACACGAGATTTAAACATCAGCGTGAGAGATGGAACAGGTGTTCCTTACCCTTCCCAATCCATGATGAAGATGGTTATTCTCAGGAACAATTACAAACCCTTCAAAAACATATTGAGATAATCAGCTGACATTTACTTTGCCTTAAAGCTTTGTTTAAAAAAAGTATTCATGCTCTCTAAGTTTAACTATGAGACTTTGATGATGATGTTAAAAAACCAGTCGACTGGAACACTGAGAAGTACGTAAGATCAGTCCCTCACTGATGCCTAAGAACCAAGGTTTTATCTCCACTGCCTTCAACATTCTTTGACTATTAAAAAATAAGCCCAAGAAAGAGAAGAATATTTCAACTCCAGTTAGATGCTCAGTGGTATCAGTTAAAGATCTATTTCAATGAGACCAAAGTAGCGTGAGAGATGGGTCAGGGTGGATTTCCCACAGATATAGGATGGGTCTTTACAAAGTCACGAAACATTACTCAAGAACAAAAACAAGACATAACAGAGGGGAAGGCTGCCATCCACTGTGCATAATAGAAAACAAAGGTATGCATCTGTGAGGGGCAAGCAGGTGTTCGTTACATAGGGAGGAAAACACATTACATAAAAAAATCCAGTCTGGTATCTAAGCAAGGATAGACAGAAGAGAAGAGGATACAAAAATTTACTCACAATGGTTTCTGGCCAATGGTTTCTGATAAGAGTGACACTGCATTGTGATGGGGGAAATGATAGTTCCAATAACTGAAAATGGGCTTCTGTCCACAACAAACACATGAAAATAAATCGAATCTTGATGCCTAGTTACATCATCCACAAAAATTAATTACAATGGATTGTAGAGCTTCTAGAATTGTATAGAATATCTTCATAATCTTGGGGCAAGTGAAATGTTCTTAAACAGGAAACCAAAAAAAAAAAAAAATCCAAAACAAAACCCCACTAACAATAAAGGAAAAGATCGTTAAATTAGATTCTGGTAAAATAAAGGACCTTTGTTCATTACAAGATATCACTGAGAGGCTGAAAATATTATACACTCAGTAGGAGAAAATACTTGTATATCTAAAGGAAACTGAAGCTAGTAGAGTAAAGAGACATTGCAAATCATACAGGTTGTTGGTGGCAATATTAAATTAGGAACCTAGGAACCGAGGCCTCTTGAAGTTTAAGCTACTGCTCTAACCATGACACTAAGCTCAAATGCACAAGTAAATACTTCAAAGAGAGAAGTGGTAGGACATCGAGAAGTGTATTAGGAAGAACGAACGAGATTTTAAGTCAGATATCAGATATACATTATACATACATATATATCTACATATATACATATACACACAGATACACAGATATACGTGTGAATATATATTGACATATATATGGCAGTATTTGATCTCTATGACCAGAAAAACTGAAATTTCTGTGCCTCAGTTTTCTATTTGTAAAATGGACATAATAATGCTGTTGGGTTTTTTAACAATGGAAATAAGAAATACCACAGTGCCTGGCATAAAAGTTTTGAAAATTTTCAGCCACAGTAGTTATAATTATACTGATGATGATGACTAAATTTTTAAAATTATTAAGTGATAGCTTTACAAATGGCTGTGAAAGATCAAAAGAGGACAGAGAATCATTACTAGTTGAATCAAGCATCCCAGATATTTTAGCCAAGCTTTAGAGAATGGGTACAATTAAAATCATCAGAGCCTGTATGGAGAATAAGCAGTAAAGGGAAAAGAAGGGATCATTTAAGAAAAGTCATAAAGGCTGGATAAAGAAGTTGTGGCATATTTATACAATGGAATACTATTCAGCCATAAAAACCAACAACATAACACCATTTGCAGCAACATGGATGTTCCTATAGAATGTGATTCTAAGTGAAGTAAGCCAGAAAGAGAAAGAAAAATACCATATGAGATGGCTCATATTGGAATCAAAAAAAAAAGAAAAGAACATAAATACAAACCAGAAACAGACTCATAGGTATAGAATACAAACTTGTAGTTGCCAAAGAGATGGGGGGTGGAAAGAGACAGACAGATTTCAAAATGTAGAATAGATAAACAAGATTATACTGTATAGCACAGGGAAATATATACAAGATCTTGTGGTACCTCACAGTGAAAAAAAAGTGACAATGAATATATGTATGCTTATGTATAACTGAAAAATTGTGCTCTACACTGGAATTTGACACAACATTGTAAAATGACTATAATGCAATAAAAAAAAGTTAAAAAAAAAGTCATAAAGGTCCCTGAATAATAAAAAGTAAGATTAAAGAGTTAAGATGCAGCTAAGTCAAAGAAGTCTTCAACTGTCAGGCTAAATATACTAGACAGTATCTCCAGTTTCTGTCATTTTTCTTATTAGTCAAATCTTGGGCATAAGGTGTGAAAATCAACAGATGCCCAACCAATACTGCCATTCCAGCAAGTATTATCAGCATCCATTAGAATAGTTCTCTTAATACAGACTTGTGGTTACCAGGGGGGTAGAGGGTGGGAAGGGATAGACTGGGATTTCAAAATTGTAGAATAGATAAACAAGATTACACTGTATAGCACAGGGAAATATACACAAAATGTTATAAATCACAGAGAAAAAAATGTGACAATGAGTGTGTATATGTTCATGAATGGCTGAAAAATTGTGCTGAACACTGGAATTTGACACAACATTGTAAAATGATTATAAATCAATAAAAAATGTTAAAAAAAAGAAAAAAGAATAGTTCTCTTACGGTCTGTTACCGCTCTTTATTCAGGTGAATAATTAGTCCTTGAAACAAAGGGGAATAGGTCATAATAAATTTGCTTGAGTTCTTGATGGATGATATGCATAGAGATATATACACAGAGAGGTAGAAAGAAGGAAGGAGAGATTTACACAAGACTAGGCCATGTAAATACATTAAGCATGACTAATAGTGTAGCTCAGTAGCAGAGTTGTTCCAGCCAATGCCCATCCATCCCCCAGGGCAAGCAGTATTTATTCTGTCAAGACACTGATCACATGAAACCTAAATGTATTATCCATTATTCCCATGCATGGCAGGAAGAGTTATATTATTACCAGCTAGCAATTATTATTCCGGGGGAAATGGAAGATAATATTTTTGTACAATATTTATTTACTTTTATAGGTTTATGGTCACTCCAAACAAATATATTCGGATATGCATTTTCATAGCTGAGGAAAATGCTTTACCCAGAGCCACATCACAGTTGAAATGGCAGATCTGTCCCTGGAGCCAGGTTGGTCTCTCCATGTTCTCTTCAATTTGTTGCCTCTGAAGAGCCATTTCCCACCACAATTTTAGGACCAGTTTCTAACTAGAATTTTATCCACATTTTATAACAATTAAAAAAAAAACATGATTGCATGGGATCCACAGGATCTCACCACACACAGTGAAATGTTTTTCAAACTGCAAGTCAGGATTGAGGAACCATGAGAGAGGACAGAATAAAAAGTACCAAGAATCATCACATATAATAAGGTTAAGTTTTATGTCTTAACAATCTTATTCATCTACACATATGTACACATACACTAGGCCATAACACAAAATTTATTTTTTACTTTGGGTCCACAGTCAAAATGTTTAACAATCACTGTTTTAGAAGGAGCCCAGACTTCGGCATCAGATGGATCTAAACCCGAATGTTTTACTGCTGCTATTATTATCTAAAGATTTCCTGCCACAAGATCCCAGTCAATTCCCTCTCCTCAGACTAGTTGTGAAACCAAAGAAAAAATTTTTTTCAAATATTAACCTCCCCACTCCTTTACAGTGGCTACCAGAACCTTCCTATTAGTAACAAAACTGCCACTTAAATTATGATTTGAGATGAAAAGGGAAAAAACTCCATAAGGGCAGAAATCATATCGATTTTCCTAGCACTGAAGCGAGAGCTTTTCAATAGTAGGGACTCAATGAATATTTGGATTATAGCAATGGTTGAATAAATAAAAGACTGAAGAAACCAATGAATGACCACAGTAGGCACTGGAGACACAGAAATGAACAAGGTATAAATCTGGGTCTTCAAGAAAACCAGTGTACACGTGTATTACTCAAGTCATGTTTTCAGTAAATACTGACTTAGACTCTACTATTTTCCAGACACTTTACTAGTCACTGCAAACAACACACCCATGTTTGCTCCCTAAAGGTAAAGATGCATTCCATAATAATCATACAAACAGCTATGGGATGAAATTAAAGTGCAATGCAGGGTATCATGAAATAACACAATGGCAAGGCCTCATCTAGATGCAGAAGAGGATGAGGGACGGTTCCGAAAAGCAGCTCCCAGAGAAAATCCTATGTAGCCTGAGTCTTCGGGATTAAAACCTGGATGCTTTTTTTCCCTCCATGAAGAAGGAACAGAGCAATGACCAACTGCAGCCCCACAGGTGAAGCAAGGAGGAAACTGGTGGGGGGTAAAGCTAGAGAGGTAGAAAGGAGCCAAATCATGAGGAGCCCAGACCCCTCCTGAGGGCTGTGGGCCGTGGGAAACTGGAGAGTGCTGTGACCACATTTACACTCTAGAAAGATCACTGGACCGTCCTACGGAGAGTAGTTTGAGAAAGAAATACTAGCAGACGTTGTTGGGAGAGTACTTAAAGGAAATTTTAGAAAACCAAGGTGGAAATGATGGCATCATCTTAGACATGACAGTGTACGGTGACAAGAAGTATCCAGAACTGAGGTCACTTTGGACCCAGATTCAAGAAGAGAACTTGGGAAGGAAAATTAAGAAGGAAATTAATTAAGAAGGAAAGATGGTGCATGGTAACGGCTGAGGGGGCATCGGGGAGAAGACTCAGGTTTTGGCTTGACCAACCAGTTGGAAGGAAGAGAAGCAACGGGGAGACTGAAGAGAAAAATATTTGTGGTGATTGATTAAAACAGTTACATGGAACAGAGTCAGTCTGAAGTACCTGGAGGATGTCCAGACTGTCAAGAAGGCGCTTAATATCCGGTCTGAAGATCAGAGGAGAGATCTAGGAAAAAAGATAACATGTATTTTGGAAATAAATAAATGTGTGTATAAATATGTATTATCTGATATCTTTTATAATTATTTGATTACTTTTTCATGGCCTGTCTCCCCCAACCAAAATGCAATGGAAACTCCACAAGGGCAGGAGCTGTCATTTTTATTCACTGTTGCATCCCCAGAGGTGAGGACAGTTTTTGGCACACGGTAAGACCTGGGAGGATCTAGGATTTTACCCTCTTTGGAAGCTGACAGGTCAGCCTGCCACAGTTAAAGGGATGCCAGCAGAAGACACAGCCTCCTGAGTCAGAGGAATGAGATGCAACCATTCAATAGCACGTCAGAGTGTCAGCATTCGCTCTGGTTCTCCAGAACCAGTCTCCCCAGGGGCACTGAGGAGGGCTCGGGGTACCTGCACCGGAAGGCCAGTGTGCCACAAGGGAAGGAGGCCAAGCTTTTAAAAATCCCCTATCTTTTTAAAAGGGCACTAGGCCCGCCTGAACTTTGCCCTGGTGAGAGATTATCTTACTATAACCAACGGTAAACAAACCTCCCCTTTACTTCAGGCTTTCTAAGGCTGTTTATTGTACAAACGCTCTAGAGAAAATTGATTGAAACACAGGCAGTCAGAGTCTTTATCCACAAGACGGGCAGAAACACGAGAGAGAGTGAAGAATTGCCTCCCCAAGCAACACATAGCGAACACAATATGTATTTTGAATGGAAGATTAACACTCTGAGGGAGGTCCTAGTATTATTTCTGTTCTTAGATAAACAAATTGAGGCACAGCTGAAGTGAACTTCTTGTAAAAGAACCTGGAACTATTATGTGTCTCTAGTGAGCCCACGCCAGCCCCCGAGCACACGTACTCTTTAGGGAACTGAGTCCTCCCTGCCTCTAACCTGCCCCTCTGTTAGCCACTTTGGGCTTTTGAATGGGTGATAGAAAAAGAGAGAAATGAGACAGAGAATAAAAAAGGGGAGCTTAAGAATGGAGAAGGTTTTTTAGATATCCACACCTGTTCACACATCCAGAACTACAGAGTGCAAGGAACTCCGAGTTCACCTTACAGATGAGAAAACCAGGCCTCGAGGGAAACAAAGGGGGCCTTTCAGTGGTCACAGAGGAAGTTAGGGGGAGAACCAACTAACTAACCACGAGTGATCTCTTCCTGACAGTCCTTACCTGGCATATCTCTGGCCCAGCTATTCCTCTTATCTTTCTGACACAGGTGACATGCCCCAAACCTGGGGGCAGGCTAGGCTACAGAGTCAATCAATAACCAAGGGGATCTGGGCCACAGGGCAGCAGGTGGAGCCTGGCATCCTATGCAGCCTATATGACCCCTCCAGTCTCAGGGTTCTGGAGACAAGTGGCAAGTTTAGAGCAGTTTTCGACTGAGCTCTGGACATAGAACTTCAGCCATGAAGATAGCAAGCATCTTTCTTCTCAGTGCCTTGGCCCTGTTGAGTTCATCTGGTAGGTGTCTTGGCATATTTTTCTAATTTGTGTGAGACCTTTTTGACCTGTTACTTTACTGAGCACATTACCTTCTAGGTTTAGAGTTTAATCTTGGTCAGCTCTTTTGATCCTAATAAGATGAAATAAGACCAGCGGATGAAAATTTTACATAGAAAAAGGGATTGTAACATCACACAAGGAAAACAATGTTACTAGTGGGAAGTGCCCGGAGGCGAAATGGTTTTCCCCAGGCAATAAGCCTGACCCTTTGTCAGAGATACGGCAGAAAAGAGAAGGGATTATTTCAATCTCAAGTACCTTTTTAACTCTGTAAATGGTTAAGGCCAGTTTACAAATTTTAAGTTCCCATGGAACCATATAAATAGATAACAATGGTTTACTAAAGGCAGAGTTTGATTCAAAATTTTGACCTACAGATTATTTCCAGAAAAATATTCTTGAATAGATGGTGTGTGTATATCCCCCAAATGGCTTGACGACGTTGACAATCTGAAACCACAGGACAGAGATCAGCTTCCTTTTTGCCACTGGAAACGATGAACACTTTTAACTTCTTATCAGATCCAGCAAACACACCTGCTGACAGGCAACTCGGCACTTTGAGAAGAAGACAAGCAATATTGTTTGTTGTATTTGCTAAATATTTATGGGAGCAATAGTCCCTTTTCCCCATCTCATGCGTATTTATTAATACAGATGGACACCTGTAGTGACCACCTGCTCATCCATTTTCAGACTCAACTAGATTCTGAAATTCTGCTGGGACCTTCTTCTCCAAGCCCATAGGTGTCTCATTATTTTTCAAGACATTTAGCTAGGAAGAACTACCTCCTTACCCAGATCACCTCAGAGATTGTTAATATCAAAACCAAATCTCACCAGCATTTCTTCCTTTGGACACTATCAGATTAGTTCCCCTTCCCTGAAATGAGCTCACCCACAATCACCATTCTCTACATGATGTCAGCAAGACCTGCTATTTTCTGGGGAATGAAGCGTGGCAACTTTAAGCATCTACTGTAAGTTCAAGAAATGTGAATTGTACTAATAGTGTAATGCAATGGAGGGAAAGAGCTCCATTTTGTAACATTCCTTACAAAAGAAGACACATGTAATTGCTAAAAGTTAGTTTTGTATCAGAACACCTGGTTAATGCTAGTGGTAACTGTTTCACAGCTAGTCATACAAACTCTCCATAGCTTCATCGATAAACTGAGATCAAGATACTTTTAACTTTCCACATTACTAACTGTGAGATCAACAGTCTGGTAACTGGTCATTACTAGTGGGCATTCAGAAGACATTTGCTCGGCGCCTGATACATTTCAAGCAGTAAGTACATCATTTCTATTTTCAAGCAAATGGAAATTGAGATACTTTGGTCACAATCAAATTTTTGCATAACTTTTTGAGGTTTCAGCATGCAGGGAGTAGATACCAATGAGATGTCCTTGAAAAAAAGGCAAAATAAGAAGGAGCGGGTAGCGACCAGCAGAGAATTCACAGATTTAAATGGAAGCAGAAAATTCTGAATGACCCAACCTCACCTATCTGATTTACGTTTTCTAGGTAACACTAATGCTAACTTCCTGGGAAGAGAGGTAAATACAATTTTGTAATTTCTTATCTCTGGGGCTAGGACTGTTTGTTCCAACCAAAGCACAGTCTGTCACCTTTTACTTTAGCCTGAACTTAATACGAGGAGTATAAATGCTGGCAAGGCTTAACCTATAAATGTGGGTAATAACTGTAGTTCCCCCACAGGCGTTTATGCTGAAGGACAAATTCACCAATACCTAAACAGTTTCTATGCAGTCAATTAATGCTTGTTATAAAGGGGTTTTTATATATACTAGGGCACTCTGGTAGGGCAAGGATGTTCAGTGGAAGCCTTAATATAACTCCACGTTGCCCTTCCTCCTTGGACAGCCAGTTTGACTACGTTGGCATAAAGTTCTCCCCATCAACAAGATGAAGCTCTAATTTATAATGAGCAAAAATAGTAATAAACTCGGTTCTTTCTCTAGAAGTATATTCTGTATCTAACTTTTCCATTTTTCTTGAAATTACCATTTATAATGTAAATTTCAGTAACGTTGGAGACCAAAGGAAGAAGTGTCCCTCTCTCATTACATTTATATCTAGTGGGAAGGCAGATGACAAACCAAAAGTACGAGTAAAATAAATTATTATATCTGTGATATGTTCTAAAGAAGTTTTGGTACCATTAGAAACCTAGCTTAGTTAGCTCAGGGAAGGTGCCCTAAAGTCGGTGAGCTTTATTTTCAGCCATGAAGGATAAGTGGGTGTTACCAACATATCACCAGCGGGGAGAAGCAGTAGCATGAGGCGGTTAGGAGCTAAAGCTCAGGACCTAGACTGCCTGGGCTTGAGTCCCGGATCCAGGAATCATCAGGTGTGTGGCCCTGGAGGATTCAGTCTTTCGGTCTCACTGTCTTCACCAGAAGAAGAGTACAGTACAACGCTCCCAGAACAGTTGTACAGTTTAAATATAACACAAAAAAGCACTTAGGACAATGTCTGGCCTCTAACAGTCTGTCGATAATTACTAATTCTTACTGATGGTAGAGGAAACAGGCTGTGCAAAGACTGCAAGGGTGGAAGGAAGCACCTTGCGTCTTTAAGTGATCTGGAGAAGACCAGGGAGGTGGGACTATCGTGTGCTGGGATGAACATGCCCCCCGGCGTGGCTGACCAGACCAACGGGAGCCAGCCCCTGCAGTAATTGTCAACTTGAACATTTACCCACTCGCCTCATTCACACCTCACAACACTGTGGGCCAGATGGGTGGGGGAAAAGACAGCATCATTGCCATTCTGCAGATGAAGTGACTGTGGTTCAGACACGCCAACAGATTTATAAATGTCACACAACTTGTAAATAGCAGAGGCATTACTTCAAACCAGGGTTTCTGACTCCAAATCTCGGATTCTTCCTCTTGAACACTCAGTATCACTCTCCCAATTATCATCATGCTTCCATCTTTAAATCGATCGACTCCAGGAAGGTTTTAGAGATTTTGCTATAAAGTCAAAGAAGGAAGAATGACAGAAAGTGACTCTGTTTCATTCCATTTTTAGGCTAAATGTAGCAATGAAGTGAGTGGATGTTCCAAGATTTATAACCCTGTCTGTGGGACTGATGGAGTTACTTATTCTAATGAATGCATGTTATGTATTGAAAATACGTGAGTATACACTTTAATTTCTTTTAAAATATATATTTTAAGCTAGATGTATTCCAATATTTACATATATTATTCCTCTAAGCCCCAGTGAATATACCAATAACATTAATCTTACCATGAGAGAAACAAAATATCTAGTTTTCTTCAAAACAACTCTTGATCTCTTTTTCTCCTTATTACATATCTGTTATGATCATATATAGAGGTGTGAGAGTGTGTGTGTGTACTTGGATAGAAAATAGTATTTACTATGTCAATCATTGTGTGAGGCACTTAATTTTCACAATGACTCTATGAGGTAAATAATTCCAGGCTTATTATACACAGGAAGAAATTGAAACACAGTTTAAATAACTTGCTCAAGATCACCCAGCAATGAGTGGCAGATTAGGGACAGAATCCTTGTTCTTTCCACTACCAGACTAAGCATTTCCAAGATCCAGGAGAAAATCTAACAAGTGTTGTCTCCCAGCTTGGGTACACTCAAGGCTGCCACCGTGTGGCCGATGGTGGTATAAGCAACTTTTGAAAGAACTAATTCTGCCTGCTGAGATTTGGAGACGTCTGGAGGCTTTCTCTAGGCCATAAAGGAGACAGACGCATTCCAGTAGGAAGGAAAAACTGAACAAAAGTGAGAAAGGAATTAATGGTATGGTATCAAAGATGCTAAGGAAAGGACAATGGAACAGAGGATGGAAAGCGTTTGAATGGTTCTCGCGATTTTTAAAAAATCATTTCTATGATAAAAACCTAAGTAAGCTTTTATAGCAGACAGTAGGTAGTCTGGATTTTTTTTTAACCCATACACCCAAAATACCTTTGAACTTCAAACATTTTCCTTGGTGACAGCAAAGACTGTGTTTCCTAAAGCCCTCAAGTATGCAAACCCAAATTATCTGGATTAGGGACCAGAAATGTACTTTTATAACACGTTAGCATATGGATGTGAGAGCCAGCCTCAGTGGAGTTTCTGACCTGACAGTAGGTGGGCAGGTGATGGAAACCAGACTCAGGAACTCAGAGACATAGATTCGCCACAGATTTTTTATCTTAGCCAGCTACTGAACACTTACGTGCCAAGCATTCTGCTATCTCCTCTGCTTTCTTTGTGGCTATAACTAAGAAAATAGTACAAATAAGGTAGCTTCTTGGAACTTATGACAAATGCCATCAAATGAGGTGTGAGCAACATGACACAGCAGTGAAGGAGAGACACAGATTGCTTGCTATTGAAAGGGTTAAGAAAGGATTCATGAAAAGGATGTCACTTAAACAGGGGTCTGCATTTTGATAGTATCACAAAAACATCCCAGGTTAAATAAAGGTGTAGAATGGTCAAAACCAATAAGAGATTCCACAAGTGACCCAGAGAACTCTTAACTTATCCTGGAAATGACTTGGTATTAAGACCTTGATTTAGGCTCAAATAACTGCATACATTTTCACTACTCCACTGCTTAAATTCCCTACACCATGAACCCTCTTCCTGTCTGCTTTAAATCATTTCAGAAAATCCTCAGTACTTAACAAGAATTGTGGAAAGATGTCCCCAGGGAGACAAATCTAATATCCTGAACTTTAAGGCCCCCCAAACATTAGGTGTTTTGCTTTTTAAAAAATTTTCCACATTAAAGACTTGTAAAAGGAACCTGAAACCACTTGTTAATTTTCTCATGGCCTATATTGTTGACATTAAAGTCAAACATTGCCATCTAAGGGGAGGAGAAAGCAACAGAACAGCCTTGAGACTTGGGCAACTTCCAAGTGCCAAGATCAAAAGGCCCAATACATAGAGTGAAACACTGGAAAATATGAGCACAGAGCTGGGACACCCTGTTTCCTTAGCCTTTAAAACCTACCAGCCCAACCAGCTCCTTCTGTTCTTTCAAACATATGTAAATATGTGAGCAACATTTGAATAACAGAAAATGTAACTTCTCTTCCCATATTTCCCTGATAAGAGAACAGGTCTAGAGAGAAAATGTGGCTTTTTCAAATGCAACATATTGTCAAATGTATCATCTTGCCTTTCTCTCTACTGCCTATTAAAAGCTCCAAATAATATAGTAAACTAGAGCCAGGCTCTAACGCTAGCTGTTGGGTTCTGAGACAGGGCAAACAAGGACCTGAATCACCTTGATCCTTATGTACTTGGCAGATACATTCAGCGAGGGCTTTTTTCCTAATTCTTCTACGTCTTCTTAGGGGATCTATACTGACAAATTCTTTTCTATAGATGAGCATTTTCCCGTAGAAATTTCTGCAGTGATGGAAATGCTGTCCAACATGGAGACCTCTCGCCATGGCACTAGCACTTAAATGTGGCTACTACAACTGAAAAGCTGGATTTTTAATATTAATTAAGTTTAACTGATTTAAAGTTAAATAGCTATATGTGGATACTGTCAGCTATCGTAAACAGCACAGCTGCAGAAAACGGGTCAACCCGTGGGCTCTGTTTAGTTGTTAACTATAGCAGGTATCATATGGGGTAAGGATAAGATATCCTTTTGCAACATCTCACAGATGTGAATATCCAGAGTTCTAAGGCAAAAGATAAATCAATTAGAAGGTCCTGAAGTAGCCTGGGCACCAGCTAAGATGGAAACCTGGTGGCTAGGACAACGACACCAGAAGTAAAAGAAGCAACCATGGATTAAAGATGAATTTCAGAGGGTTATTACAATGCCCCACTAGATCTGGAAACTCTGCAAGGACAGCATTTTCCCCTTCTGATGTATTCCTAGTGTATGTAATGGTTCTGTATCAGTTATTTGATGAATTAATGAATAAGTGAGTAAGTAAATGAGTAAGAGAAATTGAAATGGGAATAAACCTCAAACTTCTCTATTTTACATAAAGCTAATCTTTTATCCTTGTCTTTCTCCCATAGTCACATTTTTGTCAGCAAAGTTTAAGCTGATTTTTTTTCCCATTCTCTTCTACAGGAAGCGCCAGGTTCCTGTCCTCATTCAAAAATCTGGGCCTTGCTGAGAATTAAGGTTCTGAAATCCCGTCAGAATACTATGACGTGTCGCTGGCCTGATTGTTGAATAAATAATTCCTGTTGCATCTAAATACTTCCTGTTGCTCCCATATGCTTTTATGATTTTACCTCAAAGGCATGTTTGATTGTACTGAGGACAGAGAATGGAGGCAAACTCAGAATAAACCAAGTTTCCCAAAACACAGCAATTCGATAGTTTTGGACAGGGTTTCATGATGCTTTTTCCTTCCCCATCTTCCTGACGTTCTGAGGACTCTGTCTCAGGGAATGTGATGGCAGATATTAAGTGACAGGACACAACTGATCATGAATACATGTAATCCCATGGACTGGCATTTTAAGAAATAGTTGGGAAACCCTCAGTGTAGGAACATGTTGCCCATCACCTTTCACCAACTGAAATAATCCCTTTTGGTTTCCTTGGGATTTAATTGAGCATCTGTTGTGCCTGGCACTGGTCTAGGTACAGAGACATATGATTTCAAAATGTTACCTGTCTGATAGAATAGAGTTTAGTCTTAAGGTTTTCCATGTATCTTAGGATGTAGATTTCAGGTTAGACACAATTTTCTCAAAGAGGCTCTGAATCATTGAGGAAATGAAAAAAGCTACATTTTCTCAACTATGCTGTGGAGGAGCCTCTGTATTCAGTCTTCATTCTCCTCCAGCAGAGGCCATTCCCCAGTAGTTACCGAGGTGAGTAGCAATGGTATAGAGCTGCCTGCTCTCCCTGGTAGCCTGAGGACTGCATCTAGGGCTTGACCTGGAGATCTGCTTCTTTGAGCCTGACAGGTTTGTGCTGAGATAACCAGAGGAACAAAGACCTGCTTCTGAACTAACTTTTACCACCAAACCAACCCCAGATGATCTGCCATGAAAGGAAGGGACTATAGACCAGAGGAACTGACTATGAGGCCTTTGTGCAGTTCACTTTGCTTTACACATGGGCCACAATAACTCTGAAAGGTTATCCTTATCTTGTGAGTAAACTTGGAAAAGCTAAGTAACCCAACTAATAACACCAGCAAATAAGGTGGTAAAGTTAGGCTTTTAATTCTGGGCTGCCTCCAAATCTAATGCTTTTTAGTCTAAACCACATTCATTTAGGGAGGACTTTTCCTTTCCAATTTCTTCCATAAGAATATTAAGCACCATCCTCATACTGAATGGTCTATGTGTTTACAGGCAGGGACAGCAAATAAGGTAGAAATAAGGAAGGGCCTCATAAGGGAAAGAAAGTATCTATAGTCACTAATAAAGAGAAGGAAAAGCAGCTTGAATTCCTAAGTTCATACAAAGAAGTAGCCCTCAAGTACCCAGAACGGAGAAGTGGACAGAGGAGGAAATGACCCTGAGATGTGTCAGGCTTCCTGATAAATAGTGGAGGAAACATCACCGACTGAACCAGAAGTAACCCATAAAATCTGTCCCACACTTGCAAAACACAGTTGCTTGACACTCTATGGTTTAAGTTAATTTCTTGTGATATTCAGAATATGTCTTGAGGTTTAAATCTGACCGCTAGAGGATGCTGTGGTCTGCCAAGTGATTCAGCTAAACCCACACCTGGCAGCTCACCAGATAAGTTAGGGATGCAAGATGGCTTCCAGCATCTTGTTTGTGCCGCCAGAGGACATTTCAAGGGCATCCCTAAGCTTAAGGAACTTTGCCACAGTAAACAGATTTAAACACTGAATGCTAGAAATTGTCTTGTCTAATCAGACCATTTTACGGTTCTGGAGAAAAAAGTTTTGGAGGTTATAGGTAGAGGCAACACATAAACCCAGACTGCCTTTTAATGGTTCTGCTGACCTGTTAAAAGATAAACTTATGCAACCCACATTTCTGTCTGGCCATATTTTGGGGGCCCCCAACCTGACTAATGCCAAGCCAAATACTCAGGACACAAAACAAACAAGAAGGCAATAGCTGTCCCTAGGAGAGAAAGGATGGACAATCAATGGTACCAGAAAGCAAATTCACAAGTCACAATTCAAAGATCTGAAACTGAGCAGGACTCTGTGAGACCTGTCCCAGTACAAATCCTTTCCCTGTCCCGTTTCTTGTTTGCAGGAAAAAGGCTTCAGCCTCCTGGACCATCCTGAGTTCCAAAGGGAAGATTCAAACAGTTGCAATGAGGGAAGTAAGGGAATGAAGAAACAATGGAGGAGGAATCAAGAATCTATAGTGCAGTGATTAAAGCGGGGTCCTGGCTCCTCCTCAGGGAATATACATAATATCTTTGAGATCTTCTGCAGGAACTAAGGCCCCCACCCACTGGCGGAGGATGGCAACTTCAGGCTGAGCACAAGGTTCCTGGAGCACCGGCCTGTTACCTCACCACCAACCAGTCAGAAGAAAGTCACACAGCCTGCTGCCTTCACCCCAAATTTTGCCCATAAAACATCTTCCCTGAAAACCGTCAGGGACTCGGGGGTTTTTGAGCACGAGCCATTCATTCTCGCGTGGCCCTGCAAACTTTCTCTGCTCCAATCTCGACGTTTCAGTTTGGCCTCACTGTGTGTCAGGCACACGAACTTGTGTTGTGAAACAGAATTCTTACAAATGTTTTTTCCTGTCAATCTGAATTTGGAAAGTAAGGGACAAAATGAAATTTTACCTTCCTCTCTCTACCAGGCACCACAGATAGGGACTGAGACGGACGAGCTGACTTTGGTAAAGATTCTTACCCTTCGTCGACTTCTGCCAGGATTTCCTGGATCCTGTATGCTGGCTTCAGAGAGAGTGGGGTGTCCCAGCTGGTCTCATCCTGGTCACCAGGAACTTTAAAGAAGGAAAAATAATTTTCCATCCACCCTTCATGGTGAGTGGCTGAGACGCGCTTTTCTCCAGGGATCATCTAGGTTAAAAATCCTCCACTGTGGCCAAGGTTATTCACCATTATCTTTGGTAAGGTTACTGCTTGTTCTCCCTTCAAACAATATTTTCATTCGCCCAAGACCTCACGCTGCACCGAGAACAGCGGAAGTCGGCCCCAGTCTGACCTAGGACCCGGTCGGACCCCGGAACCGGTCTTGTTTCTAAGTCGGACCCAGTCTGATGGTGGGCCCGTCCTGACCCCGGACCCAGTCTGACCCAGGACCCGGTCTGGTTTCTATGTCGGGCTCGGTCTGACCCCGGACCCGGTCTGACCCCGGACCCAGTCTGGTTTGCAAGTCGGACCCAGTCTGACCGCGGACCCGGTCTGACCCCGGAACCGGTCTAGTTTCTAAGTCGGACCCAGTCTGACCACGGACTCGGTCTGAACCCAGAACCGATCTGGTTTCTAAGTCGGACCAAGTCTAACCGCGGACCCAGTCTGACACCGGAACCGGTCTGCCACTGGACCCAGTCTGACCCTGGACCCGGTCTGGTTTCTGAGTCGGACCCAGTCTGACCCCGGAACCGGCCTGACCCCGGACCCAGTCTAGTTTCTAAGTCGGACCCAGTCTGACCGCGGACCCGGTCTGACCCCGGACCCGGTCTGGTTTCTAAGTCGGACCCTGTCTGACAGCAGACGGTCTGACCCCGGACCCGGTCTGGTTTCTAAGTCGGACCCAGTCTGACCGCAGAACCAGTCTGACACCGGAACCGGTCTGCCACTGGACCCGATCTGACCCCGGAACCGGTCTGACCCTGGACCCGGTCTGGTTTCTAAGTCGGACCCAGTCTGATTGCAGACCCAGTCTGACACGGAACTGGTCTGCTACTGGACCCAGTCTGACCGCGGGCCCGGTCTGACCCCGGAACCGGTCTGACCCTGGACCCGGTCTGGTTTCTAAGTCGGACCCAGTCTGACCGCGGACCCTGTCTGACCCAGGAACCGGTCTGATTTCTAAGTCGGACCCAGTCTGATACCGGAACCGGTATGCCACTGGACCCAGTCTGACCCTGGACCCGGTCTGGTTTCTAAGTCGGACCCAGTCTGAATGCGGACCTGGTCTGACCCTGGACCCGGTCTGGTTTCTAAGTCGGACCCAGTCCACCACCGGAAACAGACCAGTTTCTATGTCCCACGCAGCCCAGCTCCAGCTTGTTCCAGTTTCAGAACCTAAGCGGGAGAAAGAAATGCTCAATCTGAGAACTCTTAACACAGAAGCTGTGGATGGAGGATGGAGGGAACTTACCCACCAGCTCCAGGGGCGGCGAGAAAGCGACTCTCAGGGCTCTGCAGGTACCTTCCCTGCTGCTGGTCGTTGCTCCTGGGGGACCCGGGGGGACTCTGGGTTCCCTCTCCTGTCACCAGACCTGTGAAAAGATACACTGAGGCATATTAAAAATTTTAAGAGTTTATTTGAGCAAAAATCTATTCGAATCAGGCAGCATCCAAACCAGCAGATAGGAAGGAGCTCCGGAGGAGCTGTGCAAAGTGCCCTTTACAGCCAGAAAGCAGGGAGACAACGTGCACTAGACAAAAAACAGGATATTTATTGCAGGGTCACTTTCCTTTAGGGGATGGCTGATACGTCAGGCTGGTTATTTAACTAATGCTGATTAGGCGATTTCTGATCGACTAGTTTAAGATTCCATTTCTGGGAGAGATGAAACTAAAATTAAGTCTTGGTTTGGTGACACAAGACTTAGCATAAACGACTCCATTTGGGGCCTGTTGTCTTATTTTTAACATGTCCATCAAAAAGCATGTAGATTACTGCCTTTGTGTCTGGTGGGTACATTTTTTAAAAGATACTTATAAACTGGAATGTGTTTAGAGAAGAGAGACTACCACAATAGATAAGAATTTGAAAGTTTTGGTCCTATGATAGATGGCTGAAAGAAGTTTTCCTTTCCTTTGGTCTGAGGAAAGGAAACCCTTAGAAATCTGGGGAGTCTTTTCAAACAATTTAAGGGAGACAATGTTATTAACATCGTGAAAGCAGGAACTTTGTTCTTTTTTCACCGCTGTATTACAGGCGGGAAGACAGTATCTAACATCTAAGAGGTGCTCAATTAATATTCTTTTTGTTACATAAACGAATGAGAAGAAGAATTAACATGTTCTTATTGTCCCCAAAGGGTAGAATTTAGACTAAGTGGGTGTGGGATTAAAAGGAGATGGATTTGAGCTCAGTAGGAAAGCGTATAGTATAGTTACTAAAACCAGGGGCTCTGATACAGAGTGTCTGAGCTGGAATCTGATTTTTCCCACTACCTAACCATGTGTTCCAAGTGAAGTCAGAGAATTTCTCAGTGTCAGTTCCCTAATATGGGTTAATAATAACAGTTCCTTCTTAGGGCAGTCAGCACAATGCCTGCCATACTGTAAGTGCTCTAATACACATTCACTATTATTGTTGTTGCTGTTATTTATCTCAGAACCCTTCGAGCTCACTAAAAAGGTTTCCTGGTACTTCTTCCTGATGGGAGGAGCTTTGCTGCTTTAGGTAACAATTCATGGCATTGTTGAATTGTCAGGGATTTAATGGAAAAGATTCCTCAACTGGATACAAGGTTGGACTAAAATCTCTCTGCTTTTAACTGTAAAAAAAAAAAAATTCCAGAATTATAAACCACACCCTCAAAAGAGGAACTCAAGAGTAGTGGCTGAGAATGAGTTTTGTGGATTAAGAAGGGTTTTGTGGGCCCCAGTAGAGAAGAGGGTAGTTAACCCAGCTCTCACTGTTAGTTCCTCATCTCTGGGTGAAAGTAAGGTCTGCAACACTCTAAAAATAAGAAACGCAGGATAGTTTCTTTTATTGGTTTCAGAGTATTTGAAATATAAAGTTATTGGACAAAAGAATATACCCAAAATTTTTTTGTCACATTGGAGAAGCAACCTTGTTTGAAATTAAACATTTTTTAAAAATAAAGTATTTTTATAGTTGATGCGTATTTTTATAGTTTAGGAGCCTCCTGAGAAATAGGACCGTGAGAAACATTGAACTTTTATTTACATTTCTCTGACCCAACTTATCCCCCGTTAACCTTTGCTTATTTCAGCTAAGCAAAAATAAAATGTATCTGCATAATAAAGGAAGCAATTACATAAAAGGTGCCAAGCTCTTACCTTTCAAAGCCTTAGCACTGTCAACAATTTCCTTTGTTTTCTTTCATTATTTAAGCAGTACCTAACTGTTAGCTAAAAATAGGAAATACGTAGATAATAAAATGATGTTCATGAAAAAGGAATAATATACACTTTTACTTTTTAACAAGTCAGTATTCATTGGAAAACCAACAGACAAAAATAAAAAAGGCTGGTTGACAATCAGGTCAAAAGGCTGGTTGATGATCAGGTCAAAAGACACTTGGTTTGGTGGAGTGGTGTTTGTGGCCATGTGTTTTTTTTTAGATGGTAATAGGTGACTATTCTACTTTTGCATGTGGAGTCATGAATAAGGCATGTAAAATGAAATTAATACTATTTGAGGGAGAGGAGTTATTCTCTGTTGAAGGAAGAAAAAATGGCAGATTAGGAGTCACCAGTGAAACTGTTGTATTGGAAACAGAAAAGTAAACACAAAGAGAAAACTACTGAGAAAAGGAGAAAAATACATACCTGCAGAAGTTAGAGGGGCAAAAAGCAGAAGGAACCATGTGTGCTATAAAAGTAAAAACAAATAATCAAAGAAAAAATAAATGAAAAACATAGAGCCATAGACACCTGAATAGAAGAAAAATGAGCAGAGAGAAAGAGTGCAAATTTAGAAAGTTTTATAGTGAATATGATTCCGGAAGGCCACAGTCACAGTACATTATTATATTTTGAACTGGGCATGCTAAATTTCAGGGTGTTTTTAAGTTCTTTTATTTACTGAAATATATGTACTTTTTTTAAAAAAAAAACTTACAGCTATATTTTAGAAATAAGATTTTGGAGTTCTAGAGAACTTTAAAATATTCAAAATTACAACTTAATATAAATTAACTTTCAAGCCTTAAAGATTTAAATTAGCACCAGGTGAAAGTTACTGAAAAATAATAGGAGTTAACCTGTACTGGGTCACTAATTTTATGTGCTAGACCCCACGTCAAACGCTTCCCTTGTGATGTTCTGCACAAGGACCCCGGAGATCCTCATTTTAGGAATGGGAAAACAAATCCTCGCTTACTCAGGGTGAGCACTAGTCAAACTACAGAGCTCCTTGGCTCATCTCCCACATTAATGTGTCTGTCCATCTCTCACTCATAACTGCTCCTCTCTCTGCCTCCTGTAACAGCGTTCAGTAGCCTCTCCTTTAAAAATAATGACTCCAGGTTTCCTGCAACTGCCTCGCTCTCTGGTCCTTCTCTGACTGAGCTGTCACTACTGTTTAACCTCCCCACAGCTCACATACACACATTCGTTATTCCCATGCACTCTGTCTAATTTTTTCTTGGCTTATCAGAATGAAGGTATGACCCCTGAGAACTCTTTCTTAGCACAACTCTTCTTAAGTGCCCCTGTTTTTACTCCTTTTTTGTGCTTGCTATTTTCTCAAACATCTTTCTGAGATCTCTGCCACTGCAGAAGCCCTGGTTTCCCCAAAGTTTTCTAACTTTTCCTCTTTTCTTGGTTTTCTAGGCATCCTCAACACTCTCAGATATTGGAGCCCCGTCAGTAAATCTGTTTAACAGCTAAACACTACATCCCCTTCCCCAACCCATGCTCTCCAGAAAAATCAGTCGTGTCTAGTAGAGCTAAAAAGTGAAGACCAACAAAGTTTTCCATAGAACATGGACAATAGAATAATTCCTAAAACACACTGTCCAGTCCAACCCTCTTCTCTGCTTCCTCAAATATTGCCCCAAGCCCAGCATTACTCCTGATGTGACTTAGTGTAACTCACGGGCTGCTCTCCCTGTCCAAGGTTATTCAGCCTGTCTGCCCTCCAGCATATGCTCCTACTCTATACACTGCACAATGCCAGCCCTTCCTGAACCAGTAAATGCTTTTAAACCACAAAGTAGTTAAAGTAGTATTCTGATGAAAAAGCTGTAATGGCGATACCTTTTCTACTATAGAAAGCCCTAACTTCGCCTGGTGGTTTTAAACCCTTAGGAATTTGAAACCTCACATGTTCCTGCCTTCGCTAGGAATTCTTCCCGCCATACTGTCTTTCTGCATTCCTTATTTATCTGTCACTTTTACCTATTTAATAAACGTCAGACAGACACACAAGTGCTATCACTTAAGGTAGTGCTTGTCAGACAGACTCCATAAGAATCCCCTGGAGATCTTCTTTACGCTTTCAGTGGCCATGCGTCAATCGCCAGATATTTTAGGTCAGTTGATTTGGGGTGGAGCCCACTGATTTGTCATTGCTCTTAATGGTTAAGTCTCCCATGAATTTTTCCTGCCTTTCTAAACTGATATCGTTCAAATTCCCACAATAATTTGTTGGTTCCTCCCTTATTGTAACCACTGTCAACCTTGAAACACAAGAAAGTGTGTTAGTGTTTGTTTTTTAGTTTCCTAAGGGGAGTAATTGAGTCCTAAGTATCTCTGTATTCTGTACTATACAATCGCAGCACATTCTCAGTCTACAGACTTAAGTTAATTTCATATCAAAAATCTGGTCTTGGGTAAGATTTTTAAAGAATTGGGATTCCTTTCATATTATGTGAAAATTCCTGTTTGAAAACTGATGTGTGGGGAAGGAAAACTTTTCCTCTTCCCAGTTAGATTCAGTGTCTGGGGGCCTGCAAATTAAATGGGCAAATAACAGATCAACAGGAGAAAAACGGCTTATTCCTATGCATATGAAAGCTAACGAAGTCACCAGCTTACTAAATGGTTAAACTTAGAGGCGTGTACACCTAACTCAGTGGGGGAAAGGAGGGAGAAGAAAAGGCTTCTGTGGGAAGACAAATAGAGACAAATGGGTTCTTAGGAAAGCGGAAGATGGAAAAGTTTCTGACGATGTTTGTCTGTGCAGGTGTGGATGGTCTTTCTACCTAGTTCAGGGCCTTATTTCCATCCACAGTGGTTTACTCTTATTCTTGCTTCTCCCTGGAGACTCGTCCCAAAGAGGGAAATAACGGCAGCCTAATTTCCCAGAAGTTGCTTGTGTCTCTGGATGAGCTGTTCCTTCTGCTCAGTAGATAAAATTCTGCGCCTACTAGGATGGGAGAAAGGGCCACTGCCCAGGGAGAAAGACAGCAAGACCTTCACAGGAAGTAAGGTTGAGGGGCTGGGAGTTGCTGCCTGTCGCCCTCCCCACCTCCTGCTTTCAGTGTAGATGGTAATGAGAACAAGGCTTTGTAGTCGGGAGAGGAAAGAACATGTAAGGCACTGAGAAACCCACCTAAGCATCAAGGCAAGTTACTTTCAAGGAAAAGATGATCACTGTTCTCAGAGATATCATCCCCATGCTAGAGTTCTCACTCATTTCACACCCACACTACCAACACCCATCCAAACTCTGCCCCAGGGTAACTTACGCCCTTCCTTCTCTCATGCCCACCTTGTGTGTTCCTGCCTTTCCCTATCAGTCTTTACCACGTTTAACTAGAGTTCTGTTGGAATAGAGGGACCGTGTCATCCCTAAAGATGTGTCTATAAGAACAAAAATGGGTATTTTGCACACCTGACTAGGAAGGAGAGGTTTATTAATAGATGATTTTGGAAAGCAAGATAGAGCTTTCCTTTTAGACATTCAAAAAGTCAAAGCCAAAGGTTACTTACCTGATACAAAGTACTTCCAACAAACATAATTGAAAGAGACTGGTAGCAGTGATGGTAAGTTCTGAAAGAGAGAAGAGGGCTAACTTGGCTTATTCTAAGGAATCTGCGTGAAATACTCCACTTGAGTGTTACTGGAGCAGAAGGAGACCGAGGCTGGGACACAGAGCAAAGTCCCCTAACACCCCAACAGCCCCTGTTTCTCCCGATAACATTGGCTAGAAGTCAGTTTCAGGTGGTAGGCAAGGAACTAAGAGAAAAATTCACCCCTGTCGCAGGACCCTTTTAGCAGTGACAGGTCTGTGCTCTGGTTCCGGGGAGGAAATTGTGAAATTCCCTAGAAGGGTTGGAAGGAGGAAGCAGGAGCAGGTAACTCTGCTCTCTCCACTCTGACCTGTGTGCCGGCAACAGTCCTGTATTGTCCGACCTGAGGTTCCTCATGGAACTCAATATACCCAGGTGGGAAGACCTGGAGGTATTTATAATCCCTAATGGGGCCCCGACACCTGCCAGTAAGGTTGCTGTGTGATTATCCACTCATCCTTTCAGAATGAAAGTTGCTGCAGAGGTCAGTTGTTTAAAAGGAAAACAGTGGGTCAGGCATCAGGTAGAAACGTCTGACTCTGTCCTCCTCAACTTCCGATTTCCACCCTTCGGTAGTCACCAAATCCCCACCTATCTAATTCCCCTAAAAACACAAAACGTAGAGAGGGGTATATATTTCTGTTTCTTCCCTGTGACGTATCCATGTTACAGAAACCACTGAAGCATGTGCCGAGATAATCATTTGAAAGTAGCTTTGAGTGAGCAAGTTTCGGGAGGGTCGGTTACTCCCCCTGAACTGGGAGGGAGCACTTTCAGTGTGAGGGCAGGAGAAGCACAGCTGTAAGGGACTTGCAGGGCAAGACTGGCCAAAATGCGTCAAGGAAGGAACAGAGCAAAACCAAATCAAGCCTAAGAATAGGGTTTCTCGGGGCTCAGATCCTGTCCATATCAAAACGATTTTTAGGGTGCCTTTCCTTTCTTCCCAGCTAAGCTCTCCAGTTTACCAAGTCCCGTATCGACATAGCCCATCAGCTGACCCAGCTTCTAAATCTGATTTTTACCTGTTCATCCTACTGTGCTCTCAACACTTCGGCTGGATGTATCTTGCCCCAGGCAGGTTCGGTGTAGGACATGTCCATCAGTCTCCAGAGATCAACTTACTTTAAATGGGCACATCTTCCTTGCTGCGAACAACAGGGGTTTTTATTGATGTTTCAGGAAAACTGGGATGGAGTCATTCTCCTAAGATAGAGCATTGCATTTACTTACTCAAAGCCACTGGGAAAGAATGATTGATGAGCCAAGTTTGCATTTCACCAGTGTAACACAAGGAGTCTGTATTCAGTGTTGCTGTGTCCCTTGGTATGTAGTCAGTGGAAAATATATTTGATTGGAGCAGAAGAGAGCTGTTAAAGTGACCTCCTTTATTTTAGTATTAAAGTTAGGTTACAAATAAATCAGATCTTCTATATAAAAACTTGCATTTTCAAAGTCATTAAGTAAGTACAAAATTACTAATGTTCAGCTCTTAAACCAAGAATGATCTTTGTACTGAAGCACATGACAATTTTTAAAATCAGATAAACTGATTTGCTGGCCTGTGAGACTATTATAAATGCAAATGGGAGATTTCAACTAAAAGATTTCTCTGTAAAGATTTGTGTGACATTCTATGTATGATTATCTGGATCCTGCAGTAAACATGCCCTCACGTTGAACTCCCTCTTGTCCTGTCTGCTTAGCTTGACTTTCTGATTTGTTTTGCTCTGACTTTCCTTTTCACCTGGGATTTCTTTCCCAAATGCTTCATTGCACAGAGCCTCCTCCTGTTACAGAGAATATATTTCTAATGCTTTTTCCTGCAACATATTTGAGACATTTCCTTGTATCACAAACTGGCAGAAAGTCAAATCAGTGCCAGTGCGGCAAGATTTGTGAGGGAGGAGGATGGAAAAGGCAGAGTTCGGCTGTTTTTAAACTCCCTTATGTAAGCGGGCTCTACGCGGTGTTGGAACTCTACTTCCTTGAAGAATAATTGTGTGTATCATAAAATTGGTCAACCGTGAAAATTATTACTAGACCAGGGACAAGGCCAAGATGATTCCCCAGATGTTCAGAAGCTCAAGGAGCACTCCTGTCATGTGAGAGCCACGGGGCAGGACCTCAGGAGCCAAAGGGAGGAGACAGAAGATTCCACTTCATTCTACTTAGTTTAGAGCTTCTGTTTCACTCGTTTGCTCTAAACTAAGTCATTTGTTGTCTGGCGTCATTATCTTGGGAGAGTCAACTAACTGAGAGTCAAATAACTGAAGGAGAAGAAACATTTCATTGATATTTAGGACCCTCTTCAATCTAGAGCCTTGAGGGGCAAATAAAAGTGATTTCCTGATCATGCCTAGTTATGTCAAAAATCTTGGCAAATTTAAGCAAGATAGTCCCATAGGAAGCCTTCAGGCATCTCCTTATTTAAGACTGGTTCAGTCTTCTGGAAGAGAAGGGGTAGCAGATGCCTATAAAGGTACCTGCTGTTTAAAAGTTTTGTGATTTCAGTGTCACTAGTGTACAACCAGGAAGACTGGTAGAGATTTTGGTGGGGGAAAGCAACTCAACTTGGGGCACAGAGTCAAATCCAAACATTCCACTGGTAATTGAGAAGGAAATAAGGTTTACACAGTATCTCTACGTTTGAGAAAACAGATTATTAGGGGCCAGAGAAAAGGAGAGAAAGGGTAGGAGGTACCTTCTCATGTTGTGATAGAAATGAAATGAATTATAAATGTCTGGGTTCAGAGACATTGTGAAATAACAGTTTTCTAAGAAAGATAGACTAGAGGGAAATGTACCTTAAATATGTTTCCAGTGCTGGCTCAGAGATTGTCCTTAATGCAGGAAGCCTGTTCAAGGCAGCTCTTTGGAAGGGGAGATTTGATTTACTTAAGAGGACTGCCTGGAGGCAGAGGCCCAGAACACTGATGTAAACCACCTGCTGGGAGAGTCATTAACTCTGTGCATAAATGCAGAGGATGCTTCAAGCAGTTGAGCTGTGAAGACGAAGGAGAAAAAGATAACCAGTAATTATAACTGACTATAAGTTTCGACTTGAATTTTAGGTGAATATTGTTTGTTTCATTTTGCATCTCAGTGGCCTGACACGTTGGAGGCCCTCCCTACAGTAATGAAGAAATAACCATAAGATTTGCTCCTTGAAGGAGCACTAGAGAAGGATCCAAAGAGGGGCACAGGAGTGAGTGTCCCATTGGACCCAAGTCCCACCATCAGCCTTGGTTTCTCAGACAGGCTCTGGGCCCCAGAGACAACACATAGGCAGCACTGAGAGCTGCACAGAGGCTTCGTGACGCGCCTCCTTCCCTTGTCCTTCTAGGCCTCTCCTACCAGGTCCCTACACCAAGAAAGGGTCTGAAATGAACCCCAGCCTTCTGCTCTACCTCTCTCTGACGACGTTCAGGGTGAGACAAACCGGGGAGAATGGGAACATGCACGGGAGGCACACAGGATACTGCGCTCCTCCTCATTCTACTTGCGTTGATCTGTTGCCCATGGGAGGCTGTGACCTACAGCACCTGTCCAGTAGTTGGGGCGCTTAGGACAGACACTAGAGCAGGGACTTCTGAGCTCACATGCTTCTGGGTGCAAGAAAATGAAGACCTCATTTCTGAATTATTTTTTTTCTGGGTCACAAAGACCCTTCTTAGACAGTTCTTGGGGCATAAGAAAAGGCTGCTTGAAACCATCATTCACTGGCATCCTCTCGTGTCTGCCTGTGGTCCTCTGCCATGCAACCAAAGTACAGGAAACTCTGGGAGAGAGAATGGTCCTTCCTCTGTCCCTTTCTGGTTCACAGTGTGCAGTGACTTGAGCCTGAGTGGAGTCGTCTGGGAGAATGCAGAATGGTTACATATACAGCGTGAATCTTCATTTCTCCTCATTTCAGCTAATTTCTCCCTGATGCAGGAAAACGGATGTGGGGCATGAGGAGGGCGGAGTCCCAGGTCTTGGTTGAGTCCCTGGAACATGTCCCGCCAAGTGTGCATCCTTAGCTTCATGTAGGAAAGGATTCAAGTGCGAGCCATGGTTGAGTAAAGGTAGATTTATTTAGAGAGATACGAACTGCATAGAGTGTAAGGCAAGAGAAAGGCAAGGAAAGACGTGTGGGGATTGGGTGCTCGGGTTAAAGTAAAAGTAGGTACACACTCCACTGACAGAGTGCGGGCCGTCTCCAAAGAGGAGGGAGTGAAAAGGGCCACTAGGCATGGTGGTGTCAGTTTTTATAGGCTCAGTAGCTTCACACACCTACAGGTGGGACCATTCCAGCTGCCCTGGGGAAGGGGCTGGGATTCCCAGGAATTGGGCCACTGCCCATTCTTTGGCCTTTTGTGGTTAGCCTTGGGACTGTCATGGCACCTGTGGGCATGTTATTTGATCACGCTGTTACAATGAGCATATAATGATGCTCAAGTTCTGCTAGAAGTCAAACCTCTTAATCCTCAAGGCCAACTAGTAGTTGAATCTTCCACCATTTTGCTGAATCTCCCACCATTTTGGTGTTAAATTGCTGTCATTCCTTGAGTGGCTGTGCCCTGCCCCCTTCCCTCCTGTCTTATTCCCATTGCTCTGACTTGTAAAGCATCTCCAAGGTTTTCATTGGAGAGACTTTGCATTCATGCTAAGAAGTTAGAACTAGCCCATCTAGGAGGAAGGGATAGAACTGGATACACTCTGAGTGTCCATGTGGAACTTGGGAGGCTCTGACTTGCCAATGCCACCCACAGCAGAGATGATGTCTAAAGGAAAATTCGGCCGATGATGACAACCACAGTGATGGTGTATGATGCTCAGAGTCTGACAGGCTAATGTGCTTCCTTAAATTTAGCAATGGAAAACCTGACGTAGATAGCTTCAAAAGTCTTCGTCACGGACTGGGTCTCTCATGCTAAGGACTGGCTTGTGAAGACCCTCTTGGACAGCTCTGACGGGCTTGGAGGAGGTTGCCAGAAGCAAGCCCTTCCCGGACGTCTCATGGACTCTGCGTTTCTCTGCTGTTGAGCATGGGTGTAAAATAGACAAGAATCTCAAGGACTAAGGATATTACTCGAGGCACAGAATCTTGTTTTTTCTTTCTCCACTAGATGTCAAGGGTTAAAACATTGGGGAAGAAACCTGAGAATTTAGGAAGAACAGTAGAAGACTCAGTATGAAGCTTTATTCCTCCAATTCTACATCACTGAATTTGTTCCCAAACTGTAGTTGTAAAAGTCCACCCTCAATTCTGTGGTATTAAACAGAGAGCAAACCACACAGCTCACTGATCTGCAATTTGATACTGTTCCAGAAGGCATGTTTAAAAAAATAAGAAAATAAACAAAGCCCTGAAGGTCAAATTTAGAGAGATCTGGTTATGCTATTGGGAGGAGAGACCCTGATGATGCAATGGAAGGATCTTACATCTCATGAAGGCTGGGGGAGAGAGGTTGATTATCTTTAAATGTTCTTCCCTGGAGAAGGAACTCATAATAATCGATTCTCAACTAAGGTCCCAACACTAGTGAAAAACTTACTGAGAATTTCTAATCACAAGAATAAAGCATACTAAGGGGGAGGGGATAGCTCAGTGACAGAGTGCATGCTTAGCATGCATGAGGTCCTAAGTGCAATCCCCAGTACCTCTATTGAAAAAAAAGAATAAAACATATAGCTTACTTCTTATGAAATAGAAGTGCTCCCTTTAAGAAAATGACACTAGGAAATGTGAGCACTCGTGGGTCAGAGTTGTGCCTACCTAAGAAGCAACATAAAGTTTCCTCTCCAAGGCTCTAACACTCAAGTATGTCATGAAGCCATCTCCTAGAAAGTTCTGAAGGGCTAAGAGACAAGGAAACATTGTCTCTCAGCTTCAATTACACCCTTTAATACTTTGATTTACTGTATTAGGCTGGGACTATGCAAACCCCATTGCTGCTTGGCCAATCAGCCAACGCTGCCAATAATGGGTACCAGAGGGAGCCTAGAAGACTGCAGGAGGGGGAAGAGACTGGTTCTTTCCTATTTGCATCCTGTGTGATTGAGGTTCCTGTGGGCATCACCGCAGCAGCCCTGGGAGGACGAGGAAGGGTGGGGGAGAAAGAAAGAAAGAAAAGAGGGGAAAGAGAGGGAGGAAAAAGAAAACTTACTGAGAAAAATTCAGACATTATGTTCTTTCCCCTAAATTCTTTCCTAAAAACAAGGACAGTTTCTTTCACATCAAGAATTCAATTATCAAAATTAGGAAATTAACACTGATATAATCCTAACCTATACACCTTATTCAGACATTACCAATTATCCTGTTAATGTTCTTTACAACAAGTTGTTTTGTTTTGGTTCCCCAGGGTCGAATCCAAGATTCCAAAGCATTAATA